TTTCTTGTTATATATTAATTACCTTTATAAATAAATATATTATATTATCAAGAATTTGGTTTTATCTCTCTAGAGAACCCTGTCTAACACATACCCTGTCCTATAGGGTTGCTGAATCAGAATGGACACTTGACAGGGAGTTTTGTTTGTTTTTCTTTCTTTTTTTATATTAAATACTTTTATTGGGGGGCTCTTACATCTCTTATCACAATCCATACACAATCTCATATCACAATCCATGGGTGAATACCCATGTGGCAAGCACATTTGCACATATGCTGCCCTCATCATTTTCAAAGCCTTCTCTTCCCACTTGAGCCCCTGATATCAGCTCCCCATTTCTTCCACCTCCTTCCCCCACCCGCCCTCACGAACCCTTGATAAGGTATAGATTATTATTTTCATATCTTACATCGTCCTCCATCGCCCCTCACCCACTTTTCCATTGCTCGTCCCCCTGGGAGGGGGTTATAGGTTGAGTTTGTTTGTTTTCAATGAGATAGGCTAAGTGTGTTACTAAAAAAAATTGTCTACAGCTACTCGCTGACAACAGGTTTGGAATAAAACCATGCATGTATGAACTGGAACCTCAGGAGCAATATATTTATTTTCTTTTCCAGGAGAGAGCGCAAACACAGTCCTCTGCTACCACAAAGTATGCAGCTGAGTTTCCCACACTTGGGGAAATCACAGGGTTCAACACATCTGAATTGCAATGGATAAACCTCGCCCTGGGAAAACCACCTTTGTGATCATGGTAGCTCCCCTGCCAGGTAAGTACACTAGTGATATTTTTTTACTTCCCCCTATATGCTAATGAAAGGAACCTTGGAGGCTTAGTCAGTTACCCATTTGGAATTGCTAATCACAAGGTCAGTGGTTCAAATCCACCAGTCTCTCCAGAGGAGAAAGATGAGGCGTTCTACTCTCATCAAGAGTACAGCCTCGGAAACCCTACGGAGCAGTTCCACTCTATCCTACAGGGTCACAGAGAGTTGGAATTGACTCAATGGCAGTGAGTTTACTTGTGGGTTTGGTTATATATTAACAGAATGACTAGGCTCTGTCTCGAGTCCTGGTGGTATTGCGTTGAGCTGTGAGCCACATGGCTGGCGTTTCGAAACCACCAGCAGCTCCAAGGGAGAAAGCCTGAGCTTTCTGCTCTTGTGAGCAGTTACAGGCTCAGAAACCCACAGCACTGACTCGATGGCAGTGAGAGTGAGTCTCTTTGCTAAAGGGCCCTAGGCAAATCATTTAACCGCTCAAAGCCTCTTCTTCTTCGGTCAAGAGGCATTGTAACTGTCCTGACCCCCAGTCAGTATCAGCAACAGAATTTGCAGGTCCAGTGCAAATCGCAAATGCAGCTCGTTTTAAAGACAATTATTAATCATTTCAAATGGCAACAACAGAGCCTTAGCCAAGGGTGGCCCTTAGGGAAAGGGTCTTCAGTAGCTGTCAGTTGTCCATGAAGCCAGGCTTGTGAGGAGGGGCTCAGGGTGGTCAGAGTGGTGGACACAGTGGGGACATCGCCTCTTCTGCACAGCAGAGTGGAACAAGCTCTGGTTTCTGGGTTGACCTGTGGTGTGGGCAACCCGCTCCACTCCTTGCCCCTGGACACACTCTAGAGATGAAAACAAGGGGTGGCCAGGCTCCAAGACTGTCTTCCTAGTTCCTGACTTAAAAAAAAACGAAAAACGTCTGCTCCTCAGGCATGGAGAAGGCAGCATCCGCTGAGCCCATGATGGGCTGGTCACGTGGACTATGGGGAACCAACCGGGAGACAAGCAGCCAAGTCATGTAAACAAGCTGAGACCAATGTTTTCTCGTACATTTATTTATTAAAAAAGAAGTAAGAAATAAAATGCCAACTAAAAACTCTATCGACAACAAATAAATTACTTCCCCTTAAGCACTGCAGATCCACACCCACTGGCCCTCAACCCTTTGCCAAGGTCCTGTCCAATGGTCTTTCCAGATCCCAGGGCCTCTGATGGAGACCTTCCCTGTCTGTGCAAAGCGGTCGCTCCGTCCTGCAGGTGCTGGGCTTCCTTACAGTGACAGCAGATGGGAGGGGGCACTGCTGGGCCCCAGCAGACACTGTGCCCCCCTCACTGTGTACTACTGCCTTCCATAATGGTTCCCAGTGGCCCAGGCGTACTTTGCCTAAGTGGAGCTTAGACGGCAAAGAGGGGGCCCTTGGTGGCTCGGTGGTGGAATTCTCACCTCCCGTGCCTGAGACATGGGTTCGATTCCTTGCCAATGCCCCTCACGCACAGTCACCACCCATCTGCCAGGGAGGCCTGTGTGTCAGTCTGAGGGTCGGACAGGTCTCGTCAGAGCTTCCCGCTTCACAGGAGGAGGAGAGGCCTGGCGATGCACTTTGGAAAACCGAAGGACCACAACAGCCTGACTGCAGCGGATTCTGGGGATGCTGCAAGACTAGGAAGTGTTTGTGCCTGGAGAAGGGGGCAGGGGAGGGGCTGGCTGATAGCAAACACAGCTTGGAAGAAAAGAGCCAGGGCTGCACCCCACTGGGCCCCCTCACTGAGGCACAGCCTAGGAATACGGTCCACAAGGAGGAGGCTTGGGGAGAGACAGCAACTTGGCCTGGCGTTTGGAACCAGTTAAAATGACCACGTAGGGTTCTTCCTTGCAAAGGACAGGGTGTATCCCATGGCGGCTGGCCTCAAGAAGCCCTACCGCACTTCTGGGCTGAATGCAAGCTGCCAGAGACCTTGGGAGAGGTCAGGATATTGGGGAAGACGAGAATAGGGGACTGGAGCCCTAAGGAGTGATTCTAAACCAGCTGAGGGAAGGCAACCCTTCCTGGCTGGGGCTCAGCAGCACCTCGGGTCAAGAAGCCCAGGGTAGCTGGGCAGGAAGCCAGCCTTCCAGGAAGGACAACATGGCCCTGGCAGCACCGAGGGCATTATAAAACCCTCAGTGCCCTCGAGGGTCAATTGTAAACCAACCAGACAAACTCTGGGGAGGGTTCAAGAGGACTCGGAGTGCCCGCAGCTCAGCAATGCTTCAGAACCCCTTCCCCCAGAAACAGAGTCGCCCTCCAACAATCGAGGCAGCATGTCTCCAAGGTGGCAGCATGTCTCCTAGGTCTTCCCTGGGGGGCACAGTGAGGCACGCTTGTTCTTAAAGACCGTTTCGCCAACGAAACCGTGAACTTCGGACTGGACCTTCGGAATGCATTTCCTCTCCTCTCCAGCAAGAGATCCTGACCAGGTTCCTTCTTTTTGTCCATCCAAGATCCCCCCACTCCAGAGACCCAGGCCTACTCTGAAGCCATGCTGGCTGGAAGTGCAAGAGGGGCCTAGCTTAGAAAGAACCGAGGGTGTGGCGACCCGGTTAAAGCAACCTTACAAATAGATGGTCAGACCTCAGCTGGAGATGCCACGGTAGACTAGCAGGCGAGAGCAGGGGCCGGGCTGGTCATCGGCTCGAGGGAGGGTATGCAGGCTGAATGGAAATCGATCCTTGAAGCACAGCCAGCCTCCCGGCCGACCTTCTGATTTAATAAGGGATATGGGTCCTGCACTTTCCATGGTCTTTCAACCAAAAACCACCCTGCAAGGCGCTCCAGCTCAGGGTGGGAGGTGACAGGGAGCAGAGGGCACTGGAGTGGCCTGGGGAATCCTGAGCTCCATCTATAAGGTGGCAGTTGCAGCTGCTGCCAACTGCTGCCAGGATGGAGTGAGACCCCTACATGGCCAGATTCTCTGATGTGGGTTTTTATGTTAAAAAAGTATACTTTCAAATGTCAGCAATTACTTCTTCAAGCATACCCAACAGACGCACTAGAGGGCCAGGCCAACGCGCAGCCTCTCCTCGGAGCGGGATCTGTTTGCGTTAAGGAGCTGGTGAAGTCTATGGGATCCTCATGGGATTCTGCCAGAAGGCACACATCTGTGTAGGAAAGGGGGACAGGCAGAGGCTGTGTGTCATGTACTTTGCACACGTCGTCAGGAGGAACTGGTCCCCAGGGAGGGAACCTCATGCTTGGTCAAGGGGGCGCTCAGAGTCGTTGAGGAAGACCCTCCATGGGGGACTCTGACCACGAGCTCACAAGCACAGGACGCGAGGACGGTGCAGGGCAGAGAAGTGGCTTGGCGTGTTGCCATGAGTCAGGAGCAACTCCACCGCAGCTAAGGAAGCAGGAAGGTGGAACATCGGCTCCTCCCGAGGTGTCTGTGTCCTAAGCCCTGGAAGCAGCAGAGGGGTCACCTTCCGTTGGCACAGAGGACTTCACAGATGGGATTCAGTCAGGGTCGCGAGATGGGTGGGCCCGAGAAGTGAGCAGGAGGCAGGAGAGTCTGGCTCACCAGGATGCAGCTCAGGAAAAACTAGACCAGAAGGTGGAAGGGGCCGCAGTCCAAGGATGCCGTCAGCTTCGAGAAGCTGGAAAACACCGTGTGGCTAGAAGAAACCCATGGAACCGATCCCAGACTTCTGACCTGCAGACCTGTACGCCCAAGTAGCTTAAGCCATGAAGTTGGTGGCAATTTGCTATGGCGGCGTCAGCCGCGGCTACAGATAGCCACTCTGCAGCATTTCTAAACATTTTCAGAAGATGAAGATATTCTCTAAATTTTGGCTGAAAGGCCTACAGCTGAGAAAGCCATATGTGACAACTCAAGCGAATGTCTCTTGTTTCTAGGAAGACAGAACGCTGGGACTCCGGTGGGTTTGGGAAGGGAGATAACCACCGGGTACAGGGGGAGACCAGGATGCCTTTGATCAAAGCGGAGCCGTGGGGGGTGCCGCCTAGACCCGCCCACCCTCTACGGGCTGCTCCGACCGCAAGCCATCCCTGCTCCCAAGGAGAAGCCCATCTTTTATCGAGTGGTCAGCAGAACTCCAAAAGATCCTTGCTGTCCAAATGGGTCAGCCTGCGTTGTCACTGAGCCAGGTGACAAAAGCTGCATGGCTTCACATTTGACCTCTTAAATACACAGGACCACGGAATAAATAATAATAATAAAAAGCACATTGTCCATTTCATCCAGGGGATCCCAACGACCGTAGGGACCAGGGGTGAGCTGCCAGGAATTGGGATGGTCGTATTGAAGGGGACAAGCTGCTGTGTATCATTCCAAATCTGGGGGCCCCTTGCAGCCCTGAGCTAGGTGACTCGTGCCACCGATCTCCTCTCTTTATGGGCAATTTTGCCACTCAAGTTGAGCAGGGCACGAACAGGGACAACGTCTCATCATCAGCCTGGATGCGTTCCCCTGGAAATCGGAAGTTGGTGGTGCCCAAAACAACCTCCTCTTTCCCTTCTCTAGGGTTCTTCTTCTTTGGGCTTTCTGGCGAGGATCACTCAAGAGTGTCCCAATGTCCCGCTCTATGCATCTCAGCGAAGGGTTTGAGGCTGGTCCAAGTTATTCCCCCGGATCTGCTGGCCCCTGGATGTCCAGCAAGGGAATGTCTGTGTTCCCACAGCCCACCTCTCCATTGTTGGGGTAGGAGAAGGTGTATGGTTCACTCACAGCCTCAGGAGAGGGGTCAGTGGGGGGCTTCTCCTCGGCCAACTTTGCAGTCGGGGCCCTGGAGCATGTTGGGGGTGGGGAAGGAGGGGACCCCATGGGGCCCTGGAAGGGCCGGTAAGTGTCCACCTCGGGCTGGAGGAGGGACCCGTTGGGTTCCTGTAGCAGATGGCCGTACACCATGGTGTCATCAATGACGGCATACACGTGGGAGTCGTTGTCCTTTCGTCCCTTCTGGAACTTTTTCTGCTGTTTCGGCATCTGGGTATTGATGTTGCCATTATAGATACCTACCACCGGGCCCTTGTCCACCTCCTTTTTCCTAGTGGGTGAAAGGGAATGAGAGAGACAGTCAGGAAGGAAAGCGTCTAAGAGGCACAGCCTGTCCATAACCCAGGGGGCTCACACATGCTAGTGATCACCAAGGTGGCACTGGATGGGGCCACCATGATGAGGAGCTGACTCCAGTACACACCACGAACAACCACTTAGGCTTCCCAACTTATCCCTTCTACCGCCTTCCACAGGTATAGATAGCCTTGGATACCACCATCCTTAGAAACCTGTCCTCGTGGAGATGATTCTGGCTCGTGGCCACTCCATCGGGCAGCATAGAGCAGCATGGCAGGGTGCCCAAGGTTGTCAGTTCTACAAAAGCATACCGCCACGCCTTCCTTCCTTGAAGGGCCTGGTGGATTTGAACTGCCGACCTTGTGGTTAGCCGCCAAGTGCTACCGGTGTTTTAATGCCCGTTAAAGGGCCCAGTGTTTTAACTCCAGTTTTCAAGGTGAAACAAACAAACCAAAAACCAACGGGGATCCCAGTTGGAAGAGAACGGTTTTAGAGAGGGCATCGCTAGCGCGATCTGTGCTCAAACGAAGACACCCTAGTGGCGCAGAGTTTAAGTGCTCAGCTGCTAACCAAAGTCGGTAGTGGAAGCCACCAGCTGCTCTGTGGGGAGAAAAGACAGTGCCGTCTGCTTCTGTACAGATTGCAGCTTTGGGACCCCTCCCCTAGGGAGGTTTGGTGGATGGGGGTCCTACTCTGCCCTGTAGGGTTACAATGAGTCAGAATTGCCTCATCAGCAACGGGTTGGGCTGGTTTTACGCTCACATTAGATGGTGGAGTCAGACACACGGTGACAAATGGTGGAGAAGCGTGAGTTCACGTTGGCCCCCTTTAGTTGTGTCTACACCCATCAGGCTCCCTGTGACCATATCAATCTTCTGAGACTCTCTCGGGGTGCTTCCCTGAGCAGAGGGCTTGGCTTCTTCTTTGACACTGGTAAGCGCTCCGGCCGCCTGGATTATCCGCACTTACAAAGAAGACTCGGGAGGGTAGGTGTAGCTTAGTTTTCAGTTCGGCTTGGGGCAGGGCATGAGCAGAGGGACATGGAGCCCCTCAGCAGTCCCTTCCAGCAGGGGAAAGAGCTAACAACAAACGTCAGGCTGTGGTGCCCGCCTTCCTCACTAAGAAAGAGCATTCACGTTGGTCGTTCATGTTCTTTGGTAGACAAGGGTGGGCATCAGCACTCCCTGCCTGGAAAAACATCTCCGAGGGCCCAGAGGCAGGGGGAAGTTCAAGTGGAGAACATGATCGCCGTTAGCATAATGGGCTATATCATGTACAGGCTGGCGGTTCACTAACTGTGAACAGGATCCCTGTAGCTCTTCTTCTTTTTTGAGATAAAAATACATCTAGCACATTGAGGTTTTAACACTGTGGCCCTAGCCTGGGTGATGGGCTCCACAGCTCCTTCCTGACACCTGGAAATGGACACCCCCTCCTGGATGCTCCCACCAAGTTTGGCATGTCCCTTCCCGCTGCCCTGAGGCCAACTCGGCGCCTGCCTCACTTTCCACTCCATCCCTATAGACGGGAGCGCCACACCAGAAGAGACCGTGTCTTGCTCCTGGTTGGCTCTGGGGCAACCAAGCACGGTACTCGGTGCCTGAGAGACCTTCCAGTCCTAGGAAGAGATTTTGCAAACCTGTATGGGATCTTCCATTATCTTTTCATTCTGTTTTTGCCATGAACTCTTCACAGCCCTCTCCTACGTTTCAGGAACAAGTTGGACGGCGTTGTTCCCCTTCATTCTCACCCCAAGACTCATCCCGCCCTCCCACACCAGTTCCCCACGGGCCTTGTGCACACCTGTGACCTTGCCCACTCACTCAGGCCAGGACCGGGCCAGTTAAGAGATGAATTTCCACACTCCCCATGCAGAAGCCAGGCCCTGTGTGAGTGCTCACGCTTTCCCATCTGGAGGCAACCCTGACAAGAAAACCCTGAGGGAAACTATCAAATGAGCTTTAAGAGAAATCCTTTCTGCTTGGCGTGTGACCTGGGCACAGCCCCAGTTCACGGACTCAGTTCCAAATCCTGCTTCCTGCGTCTGCTGCGAGCCGGGCCAGTCTCATCAGCAGACACTTCCAGGCAGCCTCGTGGCAGATTAGACGTGTGTGTTGTCTGTTCAGGGTTCTAGGTAACGGAACACAGTGTTTTCTCCCCCGCCCCCTTTTGTTTTTTGGGAAGGCCAAGTCATGCTAAGGAAAACCAATCCACTACCCCACCCCACCCCCACCATGACTTTCATCAGACTCCAAAGGTCAACATGTCCGGGCCACAAAACAGAAGCCGTTGTCCTGAGGTGCTGGGAGGTGAGGCGGGCCAGTGACCTGGGTCTCCTACCCTCTCATCCCTAGGGGGCTGGCTTTTTGTGTGCTTGTTTGCAAAGGAATAAGCACGCCTGATGACAGACGGTTTGCTTAAGGAAGTGGAGGAGAACGTGTTGAGGGTGGCCTGGGTTTGTTTCCCCCAGGGTGACCGGGGAGTGGCCTGGGGGGTGGGGCAGGGAACATGGCCTGTGTGAGCACGTTCCTGCCCGCCTGACTCCGTTCCACCATCACCGTCCAATGAGCACGCCGTCAGTGATTCACAGGGAACGTGTGCCGAGGCACAGCCAACGACAGGCAAAAGAAACCCAAAAACCTGCCACAACATGTTTTCCCCTGAAGTCAGGGTTTCCCTCCCTGCCCCCCTCCTCAAAGCACAGCTCTCTTCTGGCAACGTGTCAGTGCGGGCCACGGAGGGATAAGGAAAAAGCAAGGAGATGTCGTTGAGAAGGAATGAGACACATCTCCTTGGCCTAGATCGCGGGAGACATGGAATCCATGGAAGGGAGTTTTGAGGAATGCCACCTACTTCTTTCTCATGCAGCAAATGATGAGTCCGATGGCAGACAGCAGTAGGGCTCCGCCTCCCACCGCCGCGATGAGGACCACAGTCAGATCTGTGAGCAGAGACACGAGGGAGAGAGGGACTTAGGGGGACTTGCAGTCCGCTGTCCCCCAAGACGGCAGCCGTCAGGCCCTCCGCTCCCAGCTCCTGTATACTGCCTCTCACAGAAGACAGTCTATGGCCTCCCTCTCCAGGCTGGACTGGCCACTAGAATGTGGTGATTCGGGGCCTAGCCTCTCATCCTTCCGAAGGCACCTGACTGCAGAGACCACCAGGCTGAGAGGAAGCCCATGCGAGCCAGGTAGAGGCTCCCTAGGTGGGGAAAGAACGAGGGGCCCTGCTGAAAACGTGAGCACCCAGACCCCAGGCGTGGCCTCAGCTGAACCATCCCAGCCGGTCTCCCTCTGTTCGAGATACCTGGCTGGGGACCTGGAGCAGAGACGAGTCACCCTGCTGGGTCCTGTCTGAATTCTTCACCCAGGGAACGTGAACCAACGGAGTTTTCGTTGTCTTAAAGCCACTGCGTCTCAGAGTAGTTTATTACACAGCAAGAGCTAGCCCAAACAAACTGGGGGGACGGGGTGGGTGGGAGTGAGGACTGACCAGACCTACTCCAAAGACTACTCCTGGCCTGAACCAGCTGTTTCCTCAGTTGCCTCGGCCTGTCTTGGAGAAGAGAGGGGCAGAGAAAGGCAAGAGACCGTAGGGAGTGAACAGTGAGACGTGAGGAGTCAGGAGAGGGTTTTGCTTGTGCTGTCCTGTTCCTGCGTGGGCTAGAACGGGTAAGGGAAGGAGCCAGAGAGAGAGAGAGCGAGAGAGCACTACACCAAACAGAGATTTAGAATCTCTTGCTTGCTCACCAAGACAACAAAAGGTGAGACCGAGTGGACACAGAAATAAGAAAAGAAGACAGAAACTACGTGTAAGAGAAGAAAGCCCAGGAACCAGTTGAGAGCGAGGGCGAGCTTTTCCCCTTGTGGCTTCGGGTGCCCCAAAGCTACGGACACCCGTGTTGAGGAGGCGCTCCGTCTCTCTAAATGCCAGAGAGGGGAGGGCCTGAGGAGAGAATCCCTGCAGTCCCTGGTTCCAACACTGATGCCCCTTGGCCATCGTGCAATAAAGATGGCCACCCCAGGGACTGTTGAAGCACACGTGCAAATCACGTGTGGGAGGGAGATGAAGGGACTTAGGGGGTTATGTCAAAGAAGCCCGTGTAGCAGACTGTCTCCAAAGGTGGCCTTTCCCCTGGCTTCAAAGTCTTCCCTGGCGCCTGAAACATCGAGGCTAAAGGCCAACTCCTCATTCTCACGTGGAGGGCATTTCATGGATCAGTATTCCAGTGGGACTATGGGAGGTGAGGTGGGAATCAATCCCAGCAACGAGTATCCATGCCATCCTTGTTTTCCAGTCCCCAACATTTCCATCTCCAAGCCCGAAGCCCCCCAGCACTTCATGAGGTAGTTAGGATCACCTACCCACTACAGAGGAGGAAGCAAGATCACAGGGCTATCAAGACACTGCTGCTGAGGACCATGGTCGACTGACTACAAACACGTCCTCATTCTCCCTGCTCCCTGGGTCACGTCTTTCCCTGCTCCTCCCATTAAGAGGTGGACTCCATTGCCAGCCCCTGTCGTGAGGCTTGGCCACATGACTTCCTTCGGCCAGAAGAATGTGGTAGAAGTGGTGATGGGTCAGCTCCAACTAAACATGAAGAACTCTTGGGTGGCTCCTTTCTCTCCTGGCCCTCACTGGTTTGCTACGAGCACACCCAGGCCGGAGGATAAGAGGGCATGCAGAAGCGAGTCAAGTCAGTTAAGTTGTCTCTGTTGACCTTGAGTGGACCCAGGACTCCTGAGAGTGTCCAGTCAAGATCAGAGAAGTCACCTGGCCTGACAGCTGGGTGCTGACAGCTACAGCTGCTGACGGGTGTGTAGGTGGGCCCTGGTAAGCCCAGTGCAGGGCAGAACTGCCCAGCCAACGTGCGGACAATCATAGACACAGCTTTTGATCTATCATTGCTCACCCTGGCACTACAAAACCCAAAGACCAGTGGTTTGTACCCACCCACTACAGCCCAGGAGAAGGAAGGACCCGGTGTCCTGCTTCCGTACCTTTCTCAAAACTCAAAGCAAATTCACTGTCACCAAGTCGATGGTGACTCCCAGAGACGCCCTGTGGGTTTCCAAGACTGTAACCGTTGATGGGAGTAGAAAGCCCAGTCATTCTCCTGAGGAACTGCTGGGGGGTTCGAAGTGCCGGCCGCAGCCCAACACAGCCAAGAAAATCCTACAGGGGTAGTTCTACTCTGTCATGGGGGGGTGGAGGGTACCTCTGAGTTGAAAACCAACCCCATGTACCTAACAACACGTTCTGAGATGGTCCGTTTTGCAGCATTAGGGACGCGAGGATAGCTGACTGAATCAGGGGCAGTTGAAAATCTGAATCTTTTGACTCCCATCCCAACCTCCCTCCTTCATGTCCCCAATTTGCTGTCAGCCCCCATCCCTGGAAGGCCGGGAATGCCATTACCTGTCTTCCTTGGTGTGAGCGTCACCCAGAATTGCAGTTCAAACTGCTTGCCGCTCACAGGGCTGCAGTTAGAGATGTTGACCCAGAAGCTGTGATGGCGGAAGCTCGGCTTGGGGAGCACCTCGTCTTCCAGGTTGAAGATCTCCTCGGCGTGGGCCCGCTGCTCCTGGATGATCATGAACGCCCGCCCCGTCTGGCAGACCACGCCCGTCCGCTCCTTCAGGAAGGTCAGGCAGGCCACCTGGTTCTTTGGCACGCTGATGTTCCAGGACACGGAGGTGAGGGGCGGCAGACCCCAGTTCCAGGTAGGGGTCCTCAAGTACACCTTGCTTTTTGTGTCCGGGCTCACGGTGAAGATGCCATCCTCTGCAGCAAAGGGAGGAAGTCCTGAGATGGCTGTCCCACGCACACCCATGGCGGAGACAACGTTTAACTCTCTAGACCAGTGCTGACCACTAAGCCATTGACACTCTAGCAGCCTGGCCCCGTGCGGCAGCCACCAGCCACAAGGATCCATCAACTGCTTGAAATGTGCCCAGTGTGACTGAGGAGCTAGCTCTAGCTGTTGGAGTTGACTTGGGTGTGTATAATTCTACATTCCAATGGTCACGTGTGGCGAGTGGCTACCATATTGGTCAGGGCCAAATGACAGGCTCAGTCAGGCGGTCAGACCTTTTGGCAAAGGCCAAACCAACAAGCAAATGCCCCATGGGTCAGTTGACCAGATCAATGGCCACCTCAGACCTCCCTCTCAGAAACATGGCGAACAGTCATCGGAGGTCCCAGCCGCGTGGTCGAGTGATGGATTCCTACCTCGATTTCTGTTTCATGAATTCAAGCTACCTCATGGTTCTGGGAGCAGTTCTGGAGTCACCCCGCTGAAGAGGCTGCTGACACGTCAAGGAACCCATGCGATACCTTTCGGGGAGCTACCAACCCTCCAGAATAGGTTTGACTGTCAGAGGCTCCTAGAAGGAGTTTCTCTGGTAACCTCAGAGATGTCAGGCAGCCTGGACCGACCTTCATCTTACAGCCAAAGAGGGTCCTCCCTCCCACGCCTGCCTCCAAGGACAAGCATGGGGGAGGTCTTGGCTGACTATAAAATTGGTTGCTAGCTCCACGGACCTGTCCGTAAATGGTAACGAGAGCCGTGACTGTTTAAAACAGACCACATTCATGCCACGGCCGTGAACTAGGTAGACAACATTTACTGCTTTAAAGCACTGCAGGGCCTTCAGGTTGGAGAACAGGACCCTCAGTGTCCATGAAGCCAGTGCCCCTCTCCTCCCTGCAATAAGTCTGTCTCCGGGCTCTGCGCTGAGCACTTTGAACTGTAAAAGAATCATAAAACTTGTCTGCATGAGTGTATTGTTTTAGGTTCCATACCCAGCACTCTGGCATCTTCAGTTATTGCTCCTGTCTATCCTGCCTCCTTCCAACAGAAGACCTGACCCTGATTATTTCTTCTGCTGCCTACCACCCATCACTTCCACTGTCAGAAGCATCCTTCCCTTGGCTAATGCCTGGAATTTTCCATGGTAGGCTCACGGGGAGGAAGTCAAGGTGAAGAAGCCAGACAGCTTCTGCCAGACAACCCCGAGTTCAATAAGGACCCAGTTGTTTTGCACGGTTTATTATGAGAACTCCCTTCCACCCCACCATTCTGCCTCAAAACAAGCACGTCTGACTCCCTTAGGTAAGCAGATTCTCCCAGGAGTTCCCTCCACCGGGCTTTGCCGTCCCTTCTTGCCCTTAAGGTGAGCACAGAGCTACAAAGACTTGAGCATCCACAGGAGGAAGCCCAAGGCGGCAGGAAGGTGGAGGGGGTGAGAAGCCTCCTTACCTCGGAAATAAGGTATGAAGAACACCGTCAGGCCCTGCCTGGACACCTCCTGGCGGAAGCTGGGCTTGAAGGTGCGAATGGTCACAGAGGTGTTCTGCTTCACCTGGATCTGCTCGATGGAGCCCCCAGGGCAGAAGGCTCCGAAGTAGAGGTCCTGGTCAGGGACAGCGCTGGCCACCAGGTAGCTGAAGCTGGTGTTGCAGAACTTCTCGTTGGTGGACTGCTGCAGCTTGTGGGCAGGCACCAGCGCCATGCTGAGCTTGTCCTTGGGGACCAGCAGCTTCCAGGAGAAGTCGTGCAGGTCCACGGGCAGCTGGAGGATGTGCTCGGGCACCTGGAGAGGGTAGGACTTCCTGTAGCAGTACCGATGGTCCGTGCAGCCTGGAAGAGAGAGGCTCCTGGTACCCATGGGAAGAGGAGAGGCCAGCGGAGCATCCTCCCAAGCTGGCCCCGGCTGGACATCTGGCTACTTCCCTTCGGTCTCTCCTCTCCTTCACCAACCAGCTCCTTCTTGCCCCCTTTCTGGCTTTCCCTGCAGCTCGCTCACATGGAAACCAGAGCACGTGCTACAGCATGGACCCTGGCTCACGGCCACCGGGTATGCAGATCCCTGCTCCGTAAGGTTTGCCTGCCTTTCGTCTCCTGCCTGTCTTCTCTTTCCTCTCTTACTTCTTCCTTTCGATTGTGCTAACATCTGAACATACAACAAGATATTTCCCAATCGAACAAGGTCTCACGCGTACAAGTCTGTGACACCAATGCTGTGTGGCCCGGTGTCCGACCACCACCACCATCCACCGCCGTGACCCCATCGGGTTTCCAGTGGGTCCCTGAAGGAGTGCACCACGTCTTTCTTCTGGGGCACCCTGGCTGGTGAGTAGCCAGGCCCAGTAACCACCCGGACCACCCCAGGGCCTCCTGCCTTAACTTCAGTGTTTATGAAACGGGCGGACAGATCCCCGAGGTTGACCATTTCTCTTCTCTTTTATTCACAACACTCTCTCCATGTCCTGTGTCTGTGTCTTGCATGCTGAGGGCCACGTGGGCAGGGCACAGGGTTTTAGACCCAGGCATGCAGTGGCATTCCCATCTGTGGGGAGGCAGCTCTGTCTAGCGGTGGGAGCAGTGGAGGGGGCTGGGAGTTGGGGGGGCTTAGCGCACATTGCGGCTCTGCCACATGGGAATGAGACACGCTCTGGGGGCAGGCTGCTCCACACCTGCATCGGCCGTGACTCTGAGAGCACTCGTGTCAGAGCGGGCAGGGGGGGCGGTCCAGCAGGATGGTGAATGCTGGTTTGCACGGCCCTTGATTCATTTATTCACCCACTGCCAGACACGGCAAGTCTTCGCACCAAAGCTGTCCCGAGGAAGGGAAGGAGTGCTCCCCTCCTGGCTGGGGGAGGTCTGAAAATGTGGAGCACCCCGCATGGATGATGATACGATTATGTTCAAACCAAGAGGGCAGTCCTTCACAGGGTGCTGGGGACACGTCCGGCACGGCGAGGGGTGACCGGGAGACATGTGGCACAAGCCTCCCGCGCCTGACCTCAAGCTTCTCGGTGCTGCGTGAGAGAAGACGGACGGTGGGTGTGGAAGGCTGGACCTAGGCATGGGGACGCATGGTATGGAGAGCTGTGTCTGTCAGGGCACCTGCGCCTAGAACATGTGTGTGTGTGTGTGGGGGGGGTGTCTTCATCTCTGCCTCTCGGGCTCCCTGCTCAGTGGGTGGACATTTCTGATGACCCTCCTGACACTGGCCCTAGTGAACCCCACCTGGGGGTGGGGCAGGGAGGAGACAGAGTCTCCTGGAGACCTACTTATGGTTTTCTCCGCCGTCATCCACAGGCGGGTCAGGTCATCACAGAGGAAGGAGATCTTGTGCTTGGAGCCGGAAGTCAGGGTCAGGTTGGTGCTGCAGGTCCGCGGGGACACCAGGCACACGAAGCAGCCGGGGACAAACCGGCGGCCCTTCTTGTCCGGCCGCAGGGCGATGGTGAGCGACATGGCTTGCTCGTTGCTCAGGTCAACCAGGTAAGTCGTCGCTGAAACAAACAGCGCGGGCAGTGAAAGAGTCCCGGAACAGGAATGGGAGTCGGGATGCCAGGAGGGCAGGGGGAAGTGGGGAGCAGAAGGGAGGAAGGGGGAACCGATCACAATGACCGACACACAGCCACCCCCACCCCCAGGGAGATGAACAACAGAAACCGTGGGGGAAGGAAGACAGCGGTCGGTGTAAGATATGAAAATAATCATCATTTATGATTTATCAAGCCGTCACGAGGGTGGAGGAGGGAGGGAGGGAAAAAAGAGGAGCTGATAGCAAGGGCTCAATAGAAAACAAGTGTCAAGAAAAGAATGATGGCAACGTATGGACAAATTGATGTCTGGGTTGTTATAAGTGCTGTGGGCGCCCCCAATAAAACAATCTTTTCATTTAAAAACAAAACAAATGCCAGACTTCCTTCCCTCCGTTGGGAGGCTGGAAGCCTGGCATCAAGGTGGCGTCGGGGCCATGCTGTCTCTGCCAAAGTCCAGTGGTACCAGCGGAATGCCCATCTCTGCCTCCGTCCTCCCGTGGCCGGCGTCTCTCTCCGCTTGTCATTGTGTCTCCTCTCTTCTCTTTATACGGCCGTCAGTCAGTCAGATTGGATGGGGGCCTGTCTCGTTCCAAGACGAACTCACGTCACCCAGTAACATCTTCAAAGACTCTACTTCCAAGCAGAACCATGTTCGCAGGTCCCAGGTAGAGCTACAACCGGCTTCTGTTTTGGAGACACAGTGCAACCCCTCAGAGCACTTGGGTCTGCGTGTGGTCACCTTCTGCAGAGTCTGTGTGTGTCCACGCAGCTTGTAGCAAAACTCACGTACTCGAGCTTTTGTTTTACGGGTTTATACACCTTTTGTTATTTAACCATAGAATGTTCCTATTCTGTGATCCTTTAAGAATAATATTCACTCACCTCAATGGGTACCTACTACTCAACCAAGGTTTGTCACCCTTTTTATAAGCCCTGTCCAACGACAAATGGTAATTACCAGCAGTGGGGCATCCGTGCAAAGAAAGAAGAATAGATTCATGACGCAGGAGAGAGCCATCGATATTACAGTTTAGTCTCTAATAAACCTTCTATTTCAAATCAGCCAGGAAAAGATGAACTGCTTAATAAGCAGGGCTTGGAGCACTCAGCGCTCCGTGAATAAACGAAGAAAATGAGATCGCTCCCTCCCAGCAGTTCCCCCAACAGACACAAAGAGAAGACCCTTAAAGTTTCAGAGCAGACGCAAATGATAAAAGGCAAAAAGAGGTGGGTGGGTGGGTGGGGGCGGGATGCAACTATCTGAGACGAGGTACCTCAAGTAAAAAGAAAGGGCAAGGCACACGCTGGGAGAAAAGAGCTCAGGTGTAGATACAAAGCAGGCCCAGAATTCAGATCCCAGCTACCGTTCTTTGCCATGAAGAGCTACACCCCCCACCCCCCCACACATAAGGGACTGAAAGGACTAGAGGATGTAAGAAAGTTCTGGGTTCTCGCTCCCAGACACACTCCCCAGGGAGCTCATGCCATTTCCAGAAGTGAATTCCGGCCTCACCGGCCTGAAGAGTGGCTCTGGATCCCATGTGTGTCATAAAGGTGTCCACCATGGTCGGTAAGGCACGGATCGCCTGTGGGGCTTCCCCAAGTGATTGTAGAACGAACATCGGAACCTGTGCATCTGCTCCGGGGCTGTTTGCAGCCGGGATTGGCAGCGGCCCAGTTCTTTATCACCCGTCTACACCTGGCACACTGGCCAAAAGTCAGGCAGAGGGGCTGCCCGGGGCGGCTGCAGGGTGAGCTTGGGCTGGTCCTTCAGCAGGACTGACGTCCTAGTCCCATGGAGTCCAGCTCACCCAAGCAGGGATACACACACCCTCTGCACCTGAGGTTCTCAAGCCCACTCCATGGTGTCTTTTGAGCTGTAGATTCAACTGGCAAGAGCGGTCCACCTGGACCAGGGGGGCACAGGCCAGTGCACCTCCTGGGCTGGGGCCAACCATCTGGTGACGTTTCTTTCTCCCCTGGAGAGAGTAGTGTCCAGCCCAGAGAAGGCATCCTGCTGGGGCGGGCAGGCTGATGAGGCTCTGCTGCCTGGACCAAAGCTCTGTGTCAACAGTCTCCATGAGTAAACAGAAAAGAATAGGAATCAAAGCCATCAACACACAAAAGAATTTGGGGACTGCATGCTGATAAAAATAACTCGCAGGGACTTGTGTGGTGCGAAAAGCGTATATGATGTGCGTCATTTAGATGGTGATAAAAAGAGCCCTGGAGCCATAGGGGTTACTCATTGGGTTGCTAACCGCAAGGTCAGCAGTTTGAAACCACCAGCCCCTCGTTCCTCGGGAGAGAGACGAGGCCCTCTACTTCCGCAACTAGTTACGGTCTCGGAAACCCACAGGGGCAGTTCCACCCTGTCTGATTCTAACTCCAAACTCCTCGCTCTCGAGTCAAGGCTGACTCAGAGCGATTCTCCTGTGGGTTTCTGAGATTGTCACTGTTTAGGGGAGTAAAAAGCCCAGTCTTTCTCCCGAGGAGCTGCTGGTGGTTTCGAACTGCCAACCATGTGGATCGCAGCCCAGCGCATAACCACTCCACCACCAGGGCTCCTGACTTTGTCCTATAGGGTCACTATGAGTTGGCATCAACTCAATGGCAGTGAGTTTGGGTTCTGGTTTTGAGTATGAAGGACGCTCGCAAAGGAACAAGGGCAAGGCAAGACTCAAGGTAGAAACTATGAGCAAAAGCAGGATCCTGAAGTTCACGGAACAGACCGGTCCAATGTCTTAGCCGGAATCGGGGAAGGTCTTCAGCAGTAATCAGAGAAAAATAAATTTAAGCAAAGTATTCTGATTCCCCCTGCATCAGACAGGGCTGGGTGGGCAGGAATGACCACATCTGGGAGTACCCAGCGCTCGGAACAGTGGCACTCTCCCACTGCGGTGGGAGTGTGGGACCTTCGTGGCGGTACCTTGGGAATTACAAGGAAATGAAAACCGGGCACCCCACCGCCCACGCCCGTGATGCGGCGAAGCCCATCTGCATTTTCCTCGCATTGGTGACGCGTGGGAAACAGAAGACAAGACCAACCCCTTGTCAGGGAGTAGAATCCAACCGTCCATCCATGTGCATGCAAAGCAGGACTGGCCCCACGGTATCTCTGGCGGCTGATGCCGCTGAAGTAGACCGCCAGGCTCCTCTGAGCAGACTCAAACCGCTGACCCTGGGGTTAGCAGTGAGTGTGCTAGCCATTCACACCACCCATGGACTTCTATGGGGGAAACTAGAAACTACCTGGTACTGGAATTGTGGCCTCAACTCGTGAATGGATTATGACGTGGCCGCTGAGAAAAACAACAAGGGTAGTCTTAAGTGACTGAGAACCCGCACACGTTGCAGAACAAGATGTAGCGTCTGATCCCAAGCAGACAGTAAAATCTCTTTATGAAACAAAATACTTATGTTTCAGGTAACAAGTGGCACACGTGAGCAAAGAAAAGATCTGGAGAGACGGGCCTCGGATGCCCAATATGGTGACCCCAGGAGAGGGGCCTGGGGGCAGGGAGGGAGTGTCAAAGGGGTGTTTGACTTGTCTGTAATATTTGAATTTTTAAGCAGCAAATATTTGTGTATTCCTTGTGCAGCTGGAAAAAAAACAAACAAGGATTGCCAGCTGGTTGGTCATTGGAGGTGTTTTCCACGACTTTGCCATGGAAACGGGGCTCCAGGAAGCACCTCTCCCTTTTATTTTCCTATCACATTTATTGCCTTGGGATGAAGTCTCAGAACCACGATGGCTGGGTGGGAGAGGAGTATTTTTTCAGCTCCTTAGGACAGATGACCGGATAGATTTGTAAGAGTTGTTGCATTTACAGTCCTTTCTAGAGAACTTACACAACTCCCGACAATCGCCTTTCACGGAATTGCTTTTTAATAACATATCCTGCTTTACACAACGGCATCAAACTGGGAAGGTGCCCAGCCCACCCAAGGCGGCATTGTCTTTGCAGTTCAAGGGTGGAGATGATGCCCCTTACCGTCCCGGCCTCCAGCTCCCGAGAGGAAGTTCAGTTTCACTCGGGGAAGTTCAGTTTCCCTAAAGCATTTGCTAGGCTGCCTCCATCCAGGTTAACCTATGCTTAATAGGATTTCTCCTTGCGACCTGGCTACCAAGGAGCTCCGTTTGAAATCAGAAACACCTTTAGAGAAGTCGCTGAGATTTTATTACGGTTGTGGAGTCTGTTAACTCTTTCCTTTGTGTCTCATGATCTAGTGCCATATCAGTTTCATCATCATGTCTAGCAGTTTGGTTTTTAAGAGGACTTCCGGGGATCCTCGTTAAGCCTTAAACCAACCAGTCAGAAGCATTATGTTATTTTTGAGAACTAGTGCCCGGGGTTCATTCTTTGTAGAGCAAGCCAGGGGAGACTCGGGTGGGGGCAGTTCTGGTTAAGCTGCATGCCTGACATCTACTCACGAGACGTAACAAACAAGATTATCTTCTGGACAGCATCAAATGCCCCCAGGGGGACGAATTGCTTCTGGTACAAAGAACCAAATAGTGTTTTGTTTTGTTTTTTTACAGTGTGTATTCTGCAAACATAACTCAACTCCCTTCCCATTCCCTACCTCTATTTCTCGCGCTTCCAAAGGGCTACTTCCAATTATTTTAGGTTTTTGGGTTGTTGTTGTGTTTTTTTTTAAGTTGCCTCCACATCTTGAAATAACTTCTATTGCTGCTTCTCCACCACCTGTGTGTCTACTGGTTGCACTGTGGGGGCTCGCATGTGGCTCTGAGCCTGGAAGCTCCGTCACTGGTGTTTCAAAGGAGCTCTTCGGAGCATTGAAAAGAAAGGATGCCACTTGGAGGAGTGAGGGGGCGCCTGATTCAAGCCCTGGTATTTTCAATGGCCTCATTTGCATGTAACCGTCAGACACCGAATGAGGAAGACTGAAGGGGCACCGGTGCATTTGCATTGTGGTGCTGGCGAAGGATATGGAACGTACCACGGACTGCCAAAAGGACAAACACATCTGTCTTGGAAGAAGTCCGGCCGGAGTGCTCCCTAGAGGCAAGGATGGCGAGACTTTGTCTCACTTACTGGACGTGTGTCCAGAACAGACGAGTCCCCAGAGAAGGACATCATGCTTAGTAAGGTGGAGGGCAGCAAAAAGAGGAAGTCCCTCAAGGAGATGGACGGACACACTGGCCGCAACAAGGGGCTCAGGCATGGGGACCATTGTGAGGCTGGCGCAGGGCCGGGCAGGGTCGCTCTGGGGTGGAACAGACTAGATGGCACCTAACAACAAGGGGCCCTGGCGGTGCAAGGGATCACGTGTTGGGCTGCTAACGGCAAGGTGAGATGCTTGAATCCACCCCCACCGGCTGCTCCCCAGGAGAAAATGAGGGTTTCTACTCCCACAAAGAATCACGGTCTCAGGAATTCACTGGGCAGTTCTACCCTGTCCTTTAGAGTCGTGGTGAGTTGGCACTGACCCCATGGCAGCGAGTGCTGTAGACAGACTTCTTTCTTTCCATTAGAAGCAGGCTACACAGGAGTAAGCCAGAGGCACACGAGGCACCAATGCTGCGAGGGCCAACTCGCGGAATGAGTTACTGGGCTGAAGAAATCACAACTCAAGCCAAACCTCAACAAGCAGTTAAAGGTCCTGGGTGGCTTGTGGAAGTGAGGGAAGCGGAGCAAGAAACAAAGTAACTGTTTTCCTAACCAGGGTTTTCCCACTGTCTCAGTCAGGACAGCTCAGAAACCCACAGGGACTGAAGACAGGAGTGGAGCGGGTATCCTCAGAGCCGCTCCAAGGACCTTCCGGAAGCAGTACCTACACACAGCAAGCAGACTGGCAGGGTGCTCTCCGTGGATGAAGAAGATGAGGTGGACAGACAGACTCACTACCAGCCCGGCCACTTGAGTCTTTCGGAAAGTCTGCTTTAAAACGCAAAGCAGGCTTGCAAGGGACCCACGAGGTCGGTCTCTTGCCTGCTTTTGGGACTATGAACCTCCCAGAGGGCCAAAATTAGTCCTTTTGTTTTCCTCCAGGACACAAGGCGGAAATTAAACCAGGTCTACCCAAATCAAACCCACTGCCAACGAGTAGGTGCTCACTCATAGTGGCCCTGCAGGGCAGGGTAGAACTGCCCCTGTGAATTTCCCAGACTGTAACTCTTTACGGGAGTAGAAGGCCCGGTCTCTCTTCCGTGGAGCAGCTGGAGGTTTCTAACTGCTGCCTTGTGAGTCATAGCCCAATGCACTTGTAAAACACTTTTTATCGTCAGGCTCTGGGCTGGCATCGAACTGCACGCGGCGGGCAGCCTAAGCCTCCAAGGCCACGGCGCACACGCTCACAGCCGGATCACTTCTTCCTGCACCCGGGGCAGCCCCCACCTCACTCACTTTACAACCTACGACGTCGCGATCAAGCCATTGCAAATGGCATTCCCTGCCGGTAAGAATCCTTTGGGTCGAATAGGAACCAGCCTGATATTTTATAGTGAGGTGACATTTGATCGTGGTTTACGATGGTGGTGGTGGTGATTTGGGTGAGACAAGTAGGTTCGAGGTAACACCTGCCCGAGGCTTACATTCTACTGTGATGATTTGGCAGCCTGGACCTGCCTGAGAGTGACAATGAGGAGTCGGGGTTGGCTGGGCACCTCGACCAGAGTGACAAACGAGACTGGTCGTCTTTGAGCCCATTCTAGCTCACGGACAAGCCCGCATGTTTGCCAGGACCATGGTTCTCCACAGCATCGTCTTGGCTGAAAGCAGATCCCAAGCCTGGCTTCTGAGGTGCTGCTGGGTAGAAGTAGGTTCAAATGGCCAATCTTTCTGTTTAGTGCCTTTCCTGCAAACATTGTGCCCCCTCATATAGCATGTGTGGTGCACACGAGAAACTAATGCAGGAGAGGGGTTGCATGATCTGCTCCCTAAAACTTTTAAAAGACACATGCTATTTGCCTCCAAAAGCAGCCGTAGCCCAGCACAAAGAAGTACCGGTGGTGGCATAGCGGGTTAAGTGCTGAGCTGCTAAGTCTGAGGTCAGCAGTTCGAAACTACCAGCTGTTCCAAAGGAGAAAGATGAGGCTTTCTACTCCCATAATGATTTACAGTCTGGGGAACCCACAAGGGAAGTGCTAACCTTTTCTGTAGGGTCGCTATGAGTCTGCATCCACTCGAGGGCAGTGAGCTTTTGAGTTGGAGCCCAACACAAGCCATCTGTGCCACCCAGGGAGGGCCAGGGACTCCTGCCACCCAAGCCCACTCCCTCTTCTAGGAAAAGCGCAAACCGTATATGACAGCCCCCGCTCCCTCAACAGCATGAAACGGCAATTCATCGGTGTTCCGTTACCTCCAAACTAAAGCCACACTCTGCCGGATGTAGCATGGTTACCACTCTGAGGACAGGGGACAGAATGAACTCACGGAGACGGAGCTAATCACCAAATCCCTCCACCTGCTGAAGCTGACCCCCACTTCGTGTGCTCAGCCTTTCACATCTGCTTCCACACAGGCTTAAAGCCAAGGACCACCAAGCCACGGCCACCGGTGATGCCAGTGGACTGTGGAAACGTCTCCGTGGGCATCGAGGTTGCCTTCGGCAGAGGTTGCTGTCCACATCGGTATTAGGAAGGAGAGGGGATCTCGGGTCAGGATAGGGGCCGAGCTGAGCTGTCCTGAGAAGTCCGCTCCTGGTGGGCACTGAGGAGCATTCCCCAGGTGGCCCCTTGGGTGGTGCTGCCCTATCGCTCTCAGCTGGTTATCAGCCTCCTGGGCACGAACACTCTGCCATCCCACACGCCCACTTACTATTTCTGCCTGGCTCTCTCTGCCTCTGTCCTGGAAGCAAATCATGATAAAACAGAGACTGCGAATGAGCCTGCTTGGCAGAAGCCTTCCTCAGCCCGTACCGCCACGTCCAAGGCCATTTGTCACCACTTCCTCAGCGCAGACTCCAGCTCACAGGTGAGCCAGGAGTGGCCACGCTCAACTCACACAGCCCCTCTTGGCTCAACATCTACACCATTCGCATCAGGGCTGGAGTGAGGTGAGACCAGAAGACAGGGTGCAAAGCGTGAGGAGGCACTCAGCCTCAGGCCCCCCAAGAGGGAGCACCCCCTCCAGAGTGAGGCACCTGAGACCTCTGGAACTCTGCACCCTAGTGACCTCCCCTCCCCCCGGTGCAGGGCCTGACCCTCCTTCTCTAAGATGCCCTGGGCATCGTAGTCGGTGCGTGAGGAGCGATACTCTACGTCATTCTCAGCAGCCCAGCTGGGGACCTGCGGTTCAGCGGGTCCAGACCACAGACTCCGAGTCTTCAGCTCGGGTAGCTCCTGACAGGCTGTGTGAGGTTGGACTCGTTCCACAACCTCTCGTGTCTCACCAGTGAAGGAAGCTCATTCCACCCCACTGTCCGGTGGTGAAAAGGACCCTGGGAGATGCCAGCATGCTCTGCTGTGGGCGCAAATTGTCTTCAGAGGTACTCTGGGAAAAGAATGCCCAGGCTTCTGAGTAACGGGGTGCATTTACGGGACAGGCTGAGTCTAATTTTCCTTCCCCAAGTAAGACAGGCCCATCGCCATAGTCCACGGTTTAAGCCAGGCCGTGGGGGAAAGCGGTCAGCTCTTTCCAGGGAGCCGAGACTCTGAAAGTCTGACCTTCAACTAAGATCAAGGGGACGTCTCCTCTCCCGTTCCCTGGGGAAGGGCTGACACAGCATGCTGCAGGCGTTCAGTTATGTTCCCCTCCAGACCATAGTCGAAATGGCGAAAGATAATCTTGCTTCCATGTTTGTCAATAATCGCTTTGTGAGAACTTGTCGCAGAATGCAGGGTACGTGATAAGAGTGGTATATAAGCCTGCCTTGAATGAAGTTTGGGACCCTGGAGTGTCCATGATTCAGAAGCCCCCTATGCCCCGCCTGTTACCTCTCTCTCTCTCTTTTAAACTGGGGGATCTTACAGCTCTTACATTCCACACATCCATCGTGTCAAGCACATTTGTACATACATTGTCATCATCCTTTTCAAAACATGTTCTACTTGAGCTCTAGGTAGCGGCTTCTCATGTTTTCCCTCCCCGCCACCCTCCCACCTCATGAACCCTTGATCAATGATTACGATTTTCATATCTTATACCATCTACTGCCTCCCTTTATCTCTTATCTCTTAACCTAGAATTTTCTTAATGGCGACCATGCCCCTCTTGACCCCCTGTCCGTCGTGAGCTGATCTTGGCTCTCTCACACGTAGCATCGGGGTGGGCGTGTATAGTGTGTGCCCACAGCACCGGGCTGGTTGGCCAATGGGGACTCTTAGCTATTGCAGCTAAGGCAGCGGCGGGTGACATCCTGATTCTCACTGTGGGGTCAAGATGATATGAGATCCAGAATGTACCCTCCCAAAATCTTGGTGAAAAACAACTGAACACCTGACCTTGGGCTGGGTCACCCCATTGAGCACGGGGTCACCATGCTTTGGGGTGCAGCAGTGAACACCACCGTCACCACCACCACCACTGGCACTGCACCCTGAGGACTGGGTGACCGGTGACTCTCCATCATGCTGGATGGACCTGCCTGCAGGCGCCACCCACAGGCCTGCCACGTTGCCACGCAACCTACCCCCTGAGGCTCTTAGAGGTTCAGAGTCCACGTCTTCCGGAAGCCCCAGGGAGAAACAGGAAGGGAAGTTCTTCCCATACAGGCTGCTCGGCAAGACAGGATGGCGCCGAAGGAGGAGAAGGAGGAGGAGGAGGAATGAGGAGCCTCACTTACCACTTTCGTTTTGTGGGTGCTGGACCAAGACTTGGAACTGTAGCCGGAGGATGCCCGGGTTTTGGGTGTCTTGGTCACAGCCCTGCAGGGAGAGGTTGAAGTTGCCAGCCATGTTCCCAGGCTGGGGGTCCTCCAGCCTAAACACCTCCGGGTTGGTGGTGGAGCCTGGGATGTAGTATTCCACCCGTTCCTCCTTCCTCACGCAGTTGGAGACGTTGACTGTGAGGAAGGAGACGCTGGCCCGCAGGTGCGCGGGGACCACAAACTGCCAGGTCATGAGCTCATCCTCGGGGAAGCCTTCCGGGTAGTTGGCAGACATGAGGGTGGCCGAGCCCTCGCCCTCAAACACAGACTCCACGATGCACAGTCCTGGTGGGAGCCAACCAGGAAGAAGAGAGGGCAGTCAGACCCTGGCCTGGGTGCCCAGGGCTGCAGGGTGCGCTTCCCAGACCCTTCCACAGAAGAGTGGAGTCCTCCTTGAAGGAGTTTAGGTTCAATAGGACATGGTGTGTCCAGAGGTTGGTAACGAGAACACAGCTGCTGGGAGCAAGCCACTGTTCAAGAACAGACTCACCGAGAGAGAAGGAGGCCCTATTCTGTCAACACCCAAACCCAAACAAACAAACACAACCAACCCACTGCCACTGAGGGGACGCAGATTCATCGGGATCCTGTAGGACGGGGTAGAACCGCCCCCTGTGAATTTCTCTCTTTACGGGAGTCAAGCGACCCGTCTTTCTCCCTTGGAGCGGCTGGTGGTGTTGAACTGCTGACCTTACGGTTAGCAGGCTGACACATAACCATTAGGCCATGAGGGCTCCTGCTCTGTAGCAACTGTCGAATCCCAACACTGATTCCAAACTACCCCCATGAGGTGAGTGAGTTAGGAGGTGGGGGAGATGTGCAGGAGCACACCATGACAGAGGATCTCTAACACCCCACCCCACTCCCCATGATAGAGGATCTCTAACACCCCACCACACCACATCCCACACGCAGTTAACAGAGGCCACTTGGAAAAGCATGGTTGTTAGAAGTTAGATAGAGGGACAGGGAAACTAGGGTCCTGAAAGGGGGACAGCCAGACTGTAGGACAAGAGAGCGCTGACGGACTGTGACAGATGTAACTAATGTCACTGAACCGTCTGTCACACGGGAACCTGACGTGCCGTGTCAACGTTCACCGAGGGCACATGAAAATATTTTCTAAAGAGGAGGAAGCATGTGGCTGTGTTTGCTTCCAGCATGCGATCGAGTTGGCTTGGGACTCCTGGTGACTACGTGAGACAGAGTGGGACGGTCCCAGAGTCCCCCGGGCTCTCATCCTGTCATCAGGGGTGCAGCACCAGGTATTTTCTCCTAAAGAGCTTCTGCCTGGGTTTGAACTGCCAACGGTTGGGTTAGCAGCAGAGCAGGGCCGCTTTCCAGAGGCATAGGTAATCGTAGGCTGTAGCAAAATAACCAGGATGTCCGAGTTCTCAGAACTCGTTAGCTTTGTTTTGCATACAGTTCATTTAACTGTGTGGTTAGATAACTTGATTTTTAATAAAGGCTCTGGTTAACACCAGCTTCCCAAATTCCCAAACACCTAACCACCAGCTCCCATTGTTAGCCAGAGGGGATTCAGAGGGTGCTGATGGATTCCGCACGCCACCGACACAGAGAAAATGGACACAGAGAAAATGCGTAGGAGACGGGGAACAGGAAGCAGAAACTAAGAAACTGTGCAAGCAAGGTGAGTCTGTAGACTTTTCCATTCTGTTCTTCGCAAACAAACCTCACCTGCACACAGGACAAAGGAAAGCGGCGGCCCTGTTTGTTTAACAGCGAAAAGGGGTTCGCACAAGGAATGAGTAAGCCACACCTCGTACTGAAGGGACTGAACAGTAGATGCTTCCTTTAAGGTACTGTAGCATTCCGGACACGTCACCATTGCTAACCTCGAACACCTAACCTGCTCAGGCAGTCGGGAGGGAAAGGGCACACTTACGCTTTATGGAAGTCAGGTTTGCAATGCTCAAGCCAGACGCCTTTCTCTTGTCGAACCACGGCAGGTGTAAGGCCATTTTCACTCCCTCCTGCACCTTGACCCGGGACACGGTGCCGTTGTTGCAGAAGGTTCCGATCCGGACCTCGGTGGCATCGATGCGGCCGCCGATGGAGTACGTGACCCCGTCAGGGCAGCTCTCGCCCGGCCCGATCTGCCGCAGGTGGGAGGTGGAGAACCGCAGCTCCAGGCCCATGTTCTTAGGAGCCTTGACGTCCCAGATGAAGGTTCTGTTGAGGGTAGGCAATGAGGATGTTGAGGGCTGGAGCGGAACCTCCCCAAAAGGACACGGGCCTGACATGCAGTCTGAAACACATCACAAAAGCAATTGTGATCACAAACGCTGCAAGGCCAGCCGCCCCCAGCTCCTTCTCAGCCCCTGCTGGTACCCCAACCCCATAAGGAGCCCTGGTGGTATGGTGGGCTATGCACTCAGCAGTGAACTACAAAGCCACAAAGCCAGTGGTTCGAACCCACCAGTAGCTCCATGAGGGAAACATGAGGCTGTCTGTTCCCCTGAAAACTTCAAAGTATCAGAAACCCAAAGGAGCAGCTCGACTCTGTCCTACAGGGTCGCTCTGAGTTGGGATCGACTTGATGGCAGTGTGCTGGTTGACCCTGAACCCCAGTTGCAGTGAGTGCTGGTGGCCAACAGTGGGCAGATACATCCTTCTCGATGAAGTGCCTCATTCAGGGAAGCTGTCCTGGCCCAGAAAACCTTTAAGTTGCACCCTGACCAAACCAAACCAAACTCGCTGCCATTGGGTTGATTCGGACTCAAAACAGTGACCCTACAGGACAGGGTAGAACTGCCCCTGTGGGTTTCCAAGACTGTAACTGTTTAGGGGAGTAGAAAGCCTCCTCTTTCTCCCAAAGAGTAGATAGATGGTGGTTTCAAACTGCTGACTTTGCGGCTGGCAGCCAGTGCATATCCACTTCTGTGTCAGAGCCCCTTCATCATCCCAAGGCATCCCGTATCGTCAAGAGCTCCCTAATACAGGGGTGGCGACATCACCTGATGAAGCCGTTCATACTTCAGAAGGCTGTCCAGTCAGGCTGAGGGAGACTGCAGCTGAGGGTTCAATTTTTGCTTTTGGGGGTGTATCCTGTTTCCCTTGCTGATTCTGGGGTTCCTTTGGAGGGCTCTCTCTAGGTAAATGATGTACATGAGAATCCTTGGGTCTGGCTCTGAGGGACCCTGACCTCAGACCTCTCCTAACTACTGTATGTTCCTAATGAGATCACTAGAGCCCAGCTGGCAGGCCTCTCTGAGCAGGCCCTTCTGGAAGCCAGGGGGAGGCCATTTGTCCCCGAGAGTCTATGCCTGGGAAGAGCTGACTTCCCTTAATCTGAGAGAAGCATGGTTTTGCCATTTGTAGGGCAGAACACTGAGATCCACCTCCTAAATTTGGCTTTCCACCACACCCTCGCCTACCAATCCCCCTCTGAATGGACAATGTCCTCCAGGGCACCCCGCAACAGCTCAGTCATCTTCCTGCCTCATGGCTTCAACGTTGATACTTCATTGAGCCCTTGCGGTGTAGTGATTACATCTTGGGCTGTGATCCCCAAGGTCAGCAGTTCGAAACCACACCAGCCAATCCTTGGGAGAAAGCCAGGGCTTTATACTCCCATACAGAGTAACAGTCCTGGAAACCCACAGGGGCAGTTCTACCCTGTCCTGTAGGGTTGATATGAGTAGAATTGACTCAAGAGCAGGAAGTTCAATATGGAGTATATATATATATATATATATATATCAAGCTATTTGCCATTTATAACAATCCAAACTTCTCATCTGTGCAGAGTGGTCACCTGGAGGCCTGGTGACCAGTGCCAGCACTGGTAGTGGACAACCACCTCAGGACAAAGCTCAGCTGCATGTGGTCATCAGCGTTCTGTCTTGCAGTGCACTGCACTGCCTGCCTAGTCCAACAGGGTCAGACTTTGTGTGGCGTGGAATACCATCCTGATTTTTAGGAAGCATGGACATTTGGCTAGTTCTATCAAACCAGCGCTTGCCTCGTGAAGCTGAGTGCTAGGAACCTCCTTCACACACTCCCACGGTGCCCAGGGCACCCCTGGCAGGTGCCTGGTGAGCTCTCTGCTTGAGAGGGATCCCTTGGCCTTCTAAAAGCAGTGTTTCTCAGACCTGCCGCCACCCTGGAATCACCTGGAGGGCTTCTAAAAGGGCCAGCATCCCTGTTCCCATCCTCTAGAGACGGGGTGGGGAACATCTAGCCCATGGGTCATAGAAGGCCCTCAAAATCATCAATACCAGCTAACATATCACATGGCTCATCAAAGAGATGCAGCTCCAGCCATGATGTTCTCACTGCCCTCTGATCGATGCCAACCCGTCGTGATCCACAGGACAGGGTAGAACTGTCCCCATGGGCTTCCGAGACTGTAACTCTTTTTTTTTTTTAAAGGTTGCTAGGAGTCAAAAATGACTCCATGGCAGTGATGGTTTTAACATCTCACTGTATTTTATTTGATTTTTTAAAAACAGTTCTATTGGCATATAATTTACAAACCATACAATTCAACATTTCACTCCTATCAAGAAGAGTTGTACCATCATCACCACCATCAATTTTAGAACATTTTCTTCATTCTCCTACTCATTGTTACTAGCGCTCCATTGCCCTCCAGACACTGTAACTCTTTGCAGGACTAGAAAGTCCCCTCTTTCTCCCGAGGAGTGGTGAGGGGTTTTGAACTACTGACCTTGCAGTTAGTAGTCCACTGGGTAACCACTATTTCACCGGGGCTCCTCATGAGGGCTGACTGAAACGTTTGACCAGCAATGGCTTGCGAATGATGTTAGAAAGATCCCAATGCCCTGGGTATAAAAAGGTTCCCCACCCCTGCCCTAGAGATTCGGATCTAACTTCTGAGAGCCCTGCATCTCCCAGCAGGCCTTGGATGCTGGGAGATGAGGCTGTGCAGGCCACTTTTAATTTGCTGCTAAGAGCAGGATGGACAGGCACTGTCAAAGTGCTGCCCACCTCCGAGTCTTCTCTCGTACTGCCCCATCCAGTACCCAATTTTTTAAAAAACATTTTATTAGGGGCTCATACAACTGTTATCGCAATCCATACACACATCAATTGTGTAAAGGGCATTTGTACATCATTCTCAAAACATTTTCTCTCCACTTAAACCCCCGACATTAGGTCCTCATTTTTCCCTTCCCTCCCCGCTCCCCCCTCCCTCATGAGCCCTTGATAGTTTATAAATTGGTATTTTGTCATATCTTGCCCTGTCCGACGTCTCCCTTCACCCACTTTTCGGTTGTTTTAAGTGGCCAAAATGATTGCTATAGAGAAGCGTCACTTCTGTACGGACGGTCAGCTCGTCTTTCCCAGCCCAGACCTCTCCTTTCATGAACGCCAGAACTATTCAAAAACCAGGCGAGAACAGACTTCAAGTTCGGTGTCTAACATTCAGAATGCTTATTGGGAACAGGTTTCAAAGATGTAGGGGAGGGAGGTCCCTGGATTGTTTCTGTTAAGAGTGCTTGACGAATGCAGTCCATGCAGTGCTGTGGCGAGAACAGAACACGGGTCTGCCAAACAGAGCTGGACTTTTGTCCCGAGATTGTCCTCTGCTGGCACCAGGTCCCCAGGCCCCTGGGCTGCCCTGCAACGGTAGGGAGCTTGGGTGGTCGAAATGGCAGGTGCTTTGTTCCCTGGGAGGGGGGCGGGGGAGCCTTCAAGAAGTTGGTGGGAAAATGGAATTAAAAGATAAGGGAGATTCTTTTAAATGACTTCCTGTATATGAAATCCAGAACGGGTAAATCTATAGAGATTATAACGGGATTCATAATTACCCAGGGGCCTAGCAGGGGAGGTTGGGGAGAAACGAGTATGATAAAGACGAAAATGTACTGAAATGGATTGTGGTGAAGATTGTACAACTCTTTCCTAATGCGATTAAGGGATTACATTGTATGATATATGAAGTACATGCTAATAAAACTATTTTTAAAAGATAATTAAATTTTTCTACGAATGTTTGAAGCCCTTTTGCATTCACCTCATTTTTCCGTTTTTCAAGGTGGCTATTGCTTATTGGTTTAACAAAATGCGGCGATAATGCATGTCTATAAACAAACAAACAACAACAAAAGACAGCAATGAATGAAAACTTGATGGTGGTGATGATTGCACGGCTCTTCTTAATATGACCGAATGATTCCATTGTATGCTGTGTGAAGGACAGGTCGAAACCATTGTGTTTGACAAAGTGAATGAAGCAAGTGAACGATGCTGGTCCCCGAGGCCACCCTATTCCCTTACATAGAAACTGTAAGGTGCTTTTCTCGCTGGCCTTTGGACTCTGTGATTCTGTGGGAGCGCCTGTGTGCTCGCACGCAGGTGTATTTAAGGAAGTGGGGCTGACGCCTGCACACGACCCCTCTGCTAGAGAGCCCTGCAGGTGAAGCCCTGGGCTGCTCACTGGAGGTTGGCAGTCTGCACTCAGTCAAAGGCTCTGAGGAAGAAAGACCTGGCGGCGCTGCTGTTCCGGTGACGACCTCTAACCCCCTACAGGGAAGTTCTTCTCTGTCCTATGGGCTTGCTCTGAGTCAACATCAACTCCAGGGCACCCCACAAATTATAACAAACAAAAACAAAGCAAGACAAATACACCTTTGTGTAATACAACAAAAATATCTCGGGCCTTTGTCCATGCGGTGACGGGTCCACGTGTGTCCTCTCACGTATGTGCCGTCCGTCTTCACCCCTGCCCCGGGGTTCAGAGCCCTGGTGGCGTGGCGGTTATGCGCTGTGGTACATGAGCGGATGATGCGGAGGCACTCATGGCAGACCATGGACTGAAAACCCTTGCTTGTGACGGTTCGGTTGAAGCTGCTAAGATGGTTGTGAAACTCAGTCTGCTACTCACCCGCTGTGCCACATGAGCGGGTGACTTCCTTTGTGAGCTCTGCCAGGGGGGCGGGCGAGGGCTGTTTTAAGACTGACAGCCATGCCTGGCTGCATAGGAGCTAATTAAGGGCGCAGAGAGTTCCAGAAGAGACCTTCCCTACCTGGCATTAGCGTTTATGACACACTCACCAACATTCTTGTGAATCTCCATGACAAAGTGCCTCTCTGGGTACTGGCAGCTGAAGTCAAAGACGGCTCTCTCCCCAGCCTTGACAGTCAGTGTGAGTTGGTATCTTTTGGAAATGATGATGTGACAGGGTTTCGCTGGCAGCGTTGGGCTTCCAGCCTTTATGAAAACTCCCATGCCGCTCCTGGGGGGCAGAGTAATCTCAAAAGCTCCTGCAGAAACATAGAGAAAGCACGTGAGCAGGCAGTTTGGTCTGCAAACCAGCTACTGGTCCCACCTCTGTGGGCCAGGGTTGGGGGTGCCCCTAGATGACAGCTCCGTGGAAAAAGGGGAGGCTGCAAGGTGACAGGTACATCATAGCTCAATTCACCAATGGGAAAGGATGGGGCGGGCTGGCTTGATAGTGAGATATGTTTCTCCTTCGGCTTACCAATTTGTCCACACATTACAAACTCAGTATCGCTCCTGAGTGGTACATTTTTACCCCTGACACCCCATTAAAGAGCTCCAATCCAAACTCCCTGCCAACTCACAGCAACACTACAGGACAGAGTAGAACTGCCCCTGTGGGTTTCTGACACTAACCCCCTACGGGAATAGAAAGCAACGTATGTCTCCTTTGGAGCAGCTGGTAGTTTCGAACTGCTATTGTGATCTTCTGGTTAACAGCGCAATGTGTAGCCCTCTATCCCCGGCCACCAGGGCCCTGGATAATAACTAAAACTCCCTGCCAGTGAGTCCATGCTACTCATAGCAAGCCTAGAGGACAGAGTGGAACTGCCCTTAGGGTGTGGGATTAGATAACAACTGGAGTAACTGCTCCTTGTCTCTTGAAGAAGAGGAGAAATTCCAGACACGCCTTTCATCGGGAGAGAGAGCACCCGGGTCTACCGCTAGCCTCTGTCTCCCACTCAGACACTGTGGATGCCCAGCTCGGACCTGTGGAGGGGGCTGGGAAAACCCTTGGGAACATTCGATCTACACAGAGTGCTGATGAACGGGGAACGAAGGCTTGAGCCAAACCAGGTGGATTCCCGAGGCGGGGATGCTGCAAACACATCGGAAGAAATAAGGACCGGCGAGTGAGCGGAGGGGGTTGGCTCTCAGCAAAGGCACGCAGGATTTCCTTTGTTGAGATGGGCTGGGCCACTGTACAAAATATGCTTTTTGTAAAAACAAACATGAGTGAAGGTAAGGTCTCACAGCCTTAAAAACAACCATAACAGCAAAGCCTCCAGACCCCTTGCTCCTCGGATCTGAATATTGATCTGAGTGGCAAGAGAAAAAAAAGAAGGAAAAGTAAAACTGAAGTGGACTTAGAGTCTTTAGTGATGTAGAAGTTAATTTCAAACACGGAAAAAAAAATGAAGTGACTTTGTCACCTCTCACAGGACCAGGGGGACAGCGTGGCTGGCTCCGTGACAATTTTCGGGAAGGCTTCCGGCCTCTCCAGCCTCAGCTGGCGTCCTCTCCACCGCAGTCACCCTGCGGCGAATCCCAGCTTCTCTCTTCCCATGCCAAGGTCTTGTCCAGCTCAGGCCTTTGGGCCTGCTGGCCCCGGTCCCAGACTGCCCCTGCTCTAGATCTCGGCTTCTTAGTCCATTCTCAGCCCAAAGGTCATCTCCCCAGTGTGGCCTCCATGACTAAGTGCTCCTGTGGACGGTACGCTGTGGACTAAGTGGCCCCCTGTGGGCCTGTTGTGGGCCTGCTTGTTCCCAGCCTGGGATCACAACACAGCTTCTGCACCACAGCAGCTGGGACTTGCCCCTTTGGCTCAGCGTTTACCTGGTGCCCGAGTGGAGGCAGAACATCCCAAGCCCCCCCAACATGTCCATGGATACATCGGTTGATTCCGCGGTGGGATTCTCCACTTCCATGCAGGAGGCCCAGGTTAGATGCCTGGCCAACGTGCCTCAGGTGATAACTGCTTGATACTTGGGAAGGAGGGCGATGTGTTGCTATGATGGTGAACGGGCTCCCGTAGCACTTCCAGACTCAGGCAGACCAGGAAGAAAGGCCTGGCAATCCCCTACTGAAAATCAGCCAGTGAAAACACCACTGATCTGCAGCTGGCCGTGGGGCTGGCGCAGGCCCCAGCAGCGCTTCCCTCTGTTGCGTGCAGCGGGGCTGGCATCAGAAGCCGACTGCACCCAGCCACAGGACCTGGACGCAAACTGGAAGCCTCATGTCCTTGTCCCTGCCCTTGCGGCCGCTCGTTTCCAAAGACACTCCAGCTGGGGCTAACAAATCGTGTCCGGAAGCAGAGCTCCGAGCCCTTCAAAGAGAGATGAAACGTTCTCTGAGGCAGACCGTTTCCTGTACTTGGCTGCTTCGTCCTCAAGCAGCGAGGCCATTTAGACTCTTCTGAGAAGCCGTAGAAGTGACGATGCCTCATTCAAAGGAATTCCACATCCACCCCACACACCCAGTTGTCAGGTCTGTATCCGGGCTGTACATAACCGCCCCAGGGTCCCTTAAACATGCCTTATCTGGTTGTTTGGAGAAAACTCTGGGAGCACGCAGTTTCCAAAGGCCTGGAGCCTTGCCTGGTGCCCCCAACCCCTACTTCCCAGGGATGTAAATCCACTGTATCGGTCGGTCTCACTCCGTCTGGCTTCCCCCATCCACACCCCACTCCATGCACTGGCTGGTACACCTCAATTTATTTCTCTTACTTCTTGTCCTGTGGGCTTTTTCACAGGTTGGTTAAAGCACGATTTTAAAAATGCCCTTCCTACAGGAAGAGGAGGAAGAAACGCTAAAGTGGCAGAAAGAGCGTATTTCTAGACAAGGGGCTCTTAAAGGAACGGAAGAAAAACCCCAACCCCAGCGGACATTCGGCTTAGGGACAAGGGATAGGCGTCCTTTGTCTAAGGGTGCATGCGATATTGTCAAATATCTTTACGGGTGAGTCAGAAAAGAACGAGGTTGAGTTCGCCAAGATTCTACCTCCTCCCCCCAAATACCTCCCTCCTCCTTTCAGCCCTGGCAGAGCTCCCAGCCATCCCCGGTACACGATGATTTGGTCTCTTGTAGTAGTTACGAGTTGGGCTACTAATCGCAAGGTCTGCAGTTCTAAACCACCAACCGCTCCACAGGAGAGAAATGAGGCTTTCCACCCCTGTAAAGAGTTACAGCTCCGGAACCCACAGGGGCAGTTCTACTCTGTCCTATAGGGTGGCTATGAATGAGGTGGCATCGACTCAATGGAAGTAAGTTCAGTTTCTGAGTTTCAGCAATTCCTCCTTTTAAATATGTATATATAGTTTTCACTTTAGAAATCCTGGAATCAGGCAACAGGCTAATATGTCCCAGGCACCTAACTTGGTACAAACAATGTAACAACAACAGGCATAGTCCCTGCCCTGTTGACAGTCGGGCTAAGACGTTTCCAAATGGTCCGTCGCGAGCTTTTTGAAACGATGAGTCCTGAGTCCCAGCAGGTCTTGGGTCAGCTCTGGGGATCTGAGGTGGACACTTTCTTGTTGTTTCTCACGAGAGAGAAGGATTTACTTTAATTTCTTCATACAAAGAGTCAACGCCCCAAGACTAAGCATTGAATCGCCTGGCCCTTCATGAGGTACTAGAGCCACCTTTATTTCAGGCCAACATGACCCAGGTTTCCATCCAAACTCATTTTTGCAAAGAAGAAAAACGAAGCCTTCAAAGAGGTAGCGGACTCGTTCCAGGTTAGACTTTTAGCACAACAGCATGCTTCCCTACTCTGACCTTGCCCTGCTCCAGCCAGCACGCTCTGCTGGGCAGCCACCGTCCCTGTCTGCCCAGACCCGAGAAGCCCTCCCCTGGCTACCTGGCTCAAAGTCCTGAACAAGCACCAATCTACAGTATGCATGCAGTACAGCAGCACCCCTCTCAGCCTCTGTAGCAGGCGGAGGTGACCTATGTTGTAGTCACTGGAGTCACAGACAAGGACACGTCACCCACATAACCGTCATGGTCCAGGCCTCCTCACAGCTGGAGAGCGAGAGTCGGCGTGAGAAGAGGAGGGAACATCCTTGCACATCCTTGTGATCTCATTCTCCATCCTCCCCTTCTAAGCCCACCTCTTCAGAGGCACTTATCTGCCACCTGCCTGTCACTGTGTCGTACTGTGGTGGCTCGTGGGTTGCTGAGATGCTAGAAGTCATGCCATCAGTATGGGCCTCCCTGGTGGACAGGTGTCAGTGGATCATCCACACTACGACAGACCGGGACTAAAAACCTGGCAATCTACTTCAAAATCTTAGCCCACAGAAACGTTATGGGCCGAAAGAAAATGCTGTCTGGATTGTTTACTTTGCCGTCAGAAGGGATGCATTTGGGAGGAGGATGTGCACTGTGCTTGGTGCAGCAGAGGGTTGGCAAGGAGGAGCCTCCGTGAGATGGACTGGCACAGTGAGCCACAGTGATGCACTCAAAGTGGATGACAACATTTTATTCCATTGCACATTAAGCTGACATGAATTGGGGTTGACTCAATAGCGTCCATCCCCCCTTCTGTCCATGTATCCACCACCCATCTATCCATCTCTGTATCTGCCGTCCACCCATCTCTCCATCATCCATTCATTCATGTATCCATCTATCCATCCACTCACTCATCCATCCTTTCATGTATCCACCTATCCCTGTATCATCCATCCATCCACCGATCCATCCATGTCACCATCACCCATTCATGTATCTGCCAGGCAGCCACCCACTCATCCATCGATCCATCCAAGTATCCACCACCTACCCACCCACCCATTTGTTAGCATTAATTTAACTGTAACATCCCTGGTGGTGCAGCTGGTTAAGCATCAGACCACTAACTGAAAGGCAGGTGGTTCGAATCAATCAGGTTGATGATTGATGAAAGGTGAGGTCATCTGCTTCCAAAACGATGTCCAGCCTGCAAGACCCTAGTGAGCAGTCTCTGTAAGGGTTACTATGAGCTGGAACCCACTCCACTGACCACTGTCATGGGCTTGTCTTTATTTATCGTGATGACGTGGCAGGAAGACACCACTGCTAGTCAAATCCCATTGCAAGCTCACTTTATCCCAGATGCTTAGAGCTGGAGAATGAACAGTTTGCTTGCTCCTTGCTCTTCTCCACTCCGCAGCCTTCATCAGACCTGGCGATTGGAAAAGCAACTCCATGGAGGAAAGCTCAGCCCCCTCCCCTGCCCACCAGCCTCCCTCCCTCCCTCCCTCCCTCCCTCCGGGTC